CCCCACGGCCCTCACCGCCGGCGGCGCCAGGCGGCTCGACTCATGGTCCACGGTTCACGCACAACCCCCGGAGTCTAATCTGCTTCTTGGGTTCCCAGTTGCGTCCGTCTTCGTTCAGAACCCTCCTCTACTCTGTCTCCAACCTGGGTGCTCACCGTGCTCCCCAAACCCAAACCCGGCCCCGAAGCCCCAGCATCTAACCTAGATACCACTGTCCGACCCCTTATCCAGCCCGAACTCCAATTTACAGTCCCAGTCCCAAATCCACTTCATTCCCATACAGTCCCAGCCTCATCCCATTCCTGTGCTTAATGGGTCTGCATTCCAACCTCACCCCATCCTTGGTCCATCCCAGCCCATTTAAAACCCTTTCTATCTCAAACCTCAACCCCAACCTAGTTCATATACCGCCTCCACCCCGGCCTATCTCCAGCCCATCACCACCTCTGAAAACCGAAAAACCCATTGCTGTGGGGTAGATTCCAACTCATAGCGACCCTATAGGGCAGCGTATAACTGCCCCATAGGGTTTCCAAGGAGCGGCTGGTGGATTCGAACTGCTGACCTTTTGGTTAGCATCCCTAATCCGTTACTGTCCACTGCCATCTGCATCTCCAATTCCATTTCTGTCTTATCCCAGCTCCAGTCCATTCTCAATCCCTTGCTTGGCATGCCCCCACCTCTCCATTCACCACACCCCATACCCAGCTGCACCCTCCTTCGTCCAGCCTATCCTAGTCCCATCCTGAACCCAGTTCCCACCGACACCCCTCCATCCCTGTGTGACCATGTTCTCTGAGGCCAGTCCACGCTCCAGCCTCAGCTCATTATCCCCACCATCCCCAACCTGTTCTCCCGTTGATGCCCACCCCTGTCCTGAGCTCTCTCTTCCTTACTGGCTGCCTCCTGTGCCTCTTCAGATGGTGCCAGCCTAGGAAATCCTTTGCTTTATTTCCCAAGCCTCATGCCTCCCAAAGGAATCCCAAGTCGAGTTCCAGAAGCAGCATCTAACCCCAGACTCCCAGGGCAGGGCTCCTCCAAGGACACTCCAGGGCCAACCCCCTGGCACCTTAATTTCCCAAAGCTCTGAGCACAGAAGAGGCTGGGGCCTCAGAGAAGTCCCCTACCACTGCCAAGGCCTCCTAGTACATCTCTGCTCCAAGCTAGGAGACACTTAGAACTCCCGAAAGCTCTCAGAATCCTTTTTTACCACCTGCAAAGCCTCCCAACCCCATCTTTCTAGGGGAGGGTGACAGACCTGAGCAAACCTTACCTTCCCCAGAGCTGAGAGGAGGGCAAGGGCATGGGACTAATCCAGTCTGGGAGCTGGAGGAGGAAGTGGTACCAGCTGGCCTCAGAGTTAGGTAATCGGCCATGTCAACGCGGCCGCTGGGAGGGAGAACAGTGCATACGTTTATCTCCAGCAGTGGTTCCCACCACTTGGGTTGGGAGTAGGAACTCTTAAAACTCAAAACATCTTATAGACCCTTGTGTAGCGAACAGAACCCTGGTGGCACAGTGGTTAAGAGCTTGACTGCTAACCAAAAGGTAAGCAATCTGCCAGCCGCTCCTTGGAAACCCTATGGGGCAGTTCTACTTTGTCCTGTGGAGTCGCTATGAGTCAGAATCCACAGCAACGGGTTTTGGTTTTGGTATAGAGAACAGTCGGTGCCCACAGTGTCCATGGGGCCCTGTCCCTGGCAGGTTCTCCATGGCCCCCACTTGGAACAAGGCCCAGGCAGGGTCAGACCCAGGCTCTGTGCCCTAGACCAACTGGCCAGTAGGAAACCAGGTGCAATGGGAACCACTGAGGCAATGGAGTGGATGATGCAGGGTGGGGGGATGGAAGGAGAAAGGAACCAGGAGAGGCATGAGCTTCGGCCTTCTCCCATCATTAGGCAAGAAGAGGACGATTCTGAGGTGGGAGGAGGAAACCCCACAGCAGGGCCAAGGCGAGTGCCTGGGAGGGCTGGGGAGAGGACACCTCTGGCCTCAGCCCCTTCCTGCTTCCTTGGACTTGTCCTAGCTCATAACTCCTCCCATTTCCCCCTCCTGGGCCCTCTCCCCAGCCTCCTGCTCCCGCTACTTCACATCCAAAAAACAGAAGCAAGCCCAACTTGCACACTCTTCCTTCCTCAAATTCCAGCCACCTGCAGATTCTCCTCAGCCACACCCACTCTCACCTCTTGCCATCTATTTTTTAAAATAAACTTTTTATTTTAGAACAGTTTTAGATTTGCAGAAAAATTGCAAAGACAGTACAGAGAGTTGCCATATACCACACACCTAGTTTCCCCTATTATTAACTTGCCACCTATTTTCAGGAGAGCAAGGGGGTTCCCTGCTCCCATGCCCTGGAGCCCACTCCTGGTCTTCTGACCCTTCTCCCTTGCACATGACCTTCCTCCCATAATTTGTCCACTGTACTGTTTTCCCTGCTCCCATTTTCCCTGGCACTGCTCTGGTCAAGGTCACTAAAAAACCAGTTGCCATTAAGTTGATTCTGACTCATGGCAACCCATGTGTGTCAGACTAGAACTGTGGTTCATGGGGTTTTCAATGGCTATGATCTTTCAGAAGTAGATTGCCAGTCCTTTCTTCTGAGACACCTCTGGGTCTCTGGGTGGATTTGAACTGTCAACTTTCTGTTAGTAGCCAAGCATGTTAACCGTGTGCACCACCCAGGGACTGGCCAAGGTCACTAGTGACCCCAGAGTTGCCAAATTCATAGCCCTCAGTTTCTTTGACCAGTGGGAGCAGGGTTACCACTGCTGGCTCTCTCTCTTCTGTGAATCTGCCTCCCTTCAGCTACTGGCCATCCCCAAATTCACACACCCAGGCCTGGTGGGTTGGTGGTGGGTGCCTCTTGGAAGTTCTCCCATCAGGCCTTCATGCACCATTCTCGCAGTACTGATCACCCTTCCACTGCCAGAGTGTGAGCTCCCGCTGACACTCAGAAGCTGATCTGATGGCTTCTGGGTCCCGGAGTGCTGAAGGAGGAAGAGAGAAAAGGCAGGAAAGAGGGTGGCCTTCTTTGTGTTGGGATTTGGATCCAGAAGCTGGTTGCTTGCTTTGTGACCTTGGCTAAAGCACTTCCCCTCTCTGAGTTTCTTTATTGATAACATGTGAGGATAAAATGTGACTGGGTGGAGGCTTAGAAAGTGGGAACTCCTCCCCCTCCCTCCACTCATCTCTACCCTCCCTTCTCCCTCCCACCCCTGCCTTCCCTATGCAAGCTCCTGCTCACAGCTCACAGGGAAAGTTTGTCAGTCTCAGGACTTTCTGCACTAGCTAGTGGGTCCTTCTCTGCCCTAGTCTGCCGCTCCAAACAGCATCCTCAAAAGTGTCCCCTTGTCGACTGAATTGCTGGGTGGAGGGCTTTTGGGACCATGGTCTCGGGGAACATCTAGCTCAATTGGCATAACACAGTTTATAGAGACAATGTTCTACCTTCTACCTTGGTGAGTAGCGTCTGGGGTCTTAAAAGCCTGTGAGGAGCCATCTAAGGTACTCCACTTGTCTCACCCCTTCGGGAGCAAGGGAGAATGAAGAGAACAGGATACAAGGAAAAGATTAGTCTGAAGG